AACTTACATCATTTCTTATTGCACTTTGTATATTGTTCATGTTGGATATGATGTACAAAAAATTCACACCAATTTATATTTATGTTATGTGATTTGTCTAAATAAGCATAAACTGTTATTAACCCATTGCCTATAGTGTATATTAACCATAACCTGATAGGTGTCGTTACAATGAAGACTCAAAATTTAAAAAAACTAGTCCCTATAAATTAAACTATGTACAAAAAGCATACACCATAAAATAAAAGCAAATATAGATGAGGGAAAAGGGGTATATGAAGATGGATACCATACATAAAGATGAACAGCTGGAAAAAAGAAAAATCATAAAGGTAAAGGCCCCTGTTTCACAAAGAATAAATTCTGCATCCACTAATAGCAAAAACACATAATGAGCAATATAAACTGCTATGAAAATCTGTCTACATTGTTTTGGTCAAGAATAGGAAGCCTTGCAATATAAACTTAGAGCAAACATCAAAGGTAGTTAAAATATGAACAATGCTAAACTGCTAATATTGTATCAACAAATTCATGAGGAAGCAATCACTCAAGTTCAACATCATAGCACTACAGATTGAATTCACGATTTGATAACTATAAACTCATATTCGAATGAACACATGGATTCAAATTCAAATCTCTCACAACAAATTTATAATTAAATATGAACTTCATGAGCAGAGAGAGAATTTACTACATTAAATCGCAAGTCGCAAGTTAGGCAAGAGGAGAGTTGATCCAAACCCTAGGAGGAGATTCAAGATTGTAAACCCTAGGAGAAGAATCGACTGAAGGAAGAGAGAGAGGGAGAGAGAGACAGAGAGAGAGAGAGAGAGAAGAATCGATGAAACTGAGATTGGATTGAAATTGAAATCGTGGCGGTGGCGGTGGCGATGGCGGTGGAGCTTCGAAATCAAAATCATTCTGAGATTGGATCGATCGAATGATGAATCACCGAGCTGAAGAAGATTGAATTGAGTTGAAGGAGCTGAAGGACTTAGAGAGAGAGAGAGAGAGAGAGAGAGAGAGAGCGAGTGAATTAGATTTGGGGGATCGATTTTTCGGAGACTGTCGAGTTTCTCATATTAAAATAAGTTGGTGAGAGATTTGAGGGTTTGGAGAGAGAAACACTGTTAACACATTTGGAGGCGCTTTTTAAACGACTTCTATTACTTAAAACGGTGCCATTTTAATTAAAACAAAATGCGACGTTTACAAAACGTCGTTAAATATTATAAATAGTGGCGTTTAAAAAAACACCGTTAAATAAACGCCGTTAAATCATATATTTCCTGTAGTGTAATTGAATACGAACCTTGGCAACCATCTAAGAGGTACGGGTTCCCTTTGTAACCAATCCTGCACTTGCAGAAATACCCACGTCCATTTTTTGAATCATAACAATCACTATTTTCTCCACATTCATAACTTTCCAGATTTCTTTGAGAGTCTCTGCACGTCTTGTTATTCCCTACCGCCCAATCAAGCACTATTGGCATCATTTCTTCTGTAAAATTTCTCAGGTAGCTTTTATCGCCAAAAATAAAAAAAAAAAAAAAGACGACAATTGTATTTTAAAAATATACAATTCATTCTTTCGGTGACAAACACGATGAATTGAATAGGTTATGATTATTAAATCGATCAAATTTTTTTGTTTGAATGGCATACGCAAAGTACCTAACAAAATAAACGGTTCGAATTATCAAAATAGGGCTCGTAATGAGCCACACAGGCCCAAACAACGTCCTTCAATTCGGATTAAGGACCGGAGGGATCCACTCCCTTTGAATTTAAACTTTACAAAGGGTCAAAAAAAGATAACTTTTTACATATTTTTTAATACTAACAACAATTTTAATGATTTTTTATGATATATTTTTACGTTTTACAATTTTACTCACAATGACATGACATATTATATGTCAACTTTCCTTTTGTTAGAGCATCTCCATTGATAGTTATTTTAACATTGCCAAAACTATAATTTACCATGTTACAGTAGCAAAATATTAAATTATAGCAATGACACCATAATGGTGACATGCTATTTTGGCACAATTCCTTTCTAAAAGACCCAATATACAAATATTATATCTGTTTTGAACGAAAATGGATGCATCCATATATTTCTAACTCATATTTATGAGATGACAAAAAATAGAAAAGACTATACCAAGAACTGGTTAAAGTAACCAATTTTCCCTTTCTTTTTTAGGTGGTTTTTTAATTGAATTTTTAAATTGATTTTTTTTCGTCTTTTGTGATCTTTTTACAACATTTTTTTGAAAAAAAATTATATTTTTATTTTCTACACACTAGGTGAACTAAAAGAATTTTTTTAAAAAAAATATTGAAAAAAATTGGATCTTTTTTAAAGGAAAAATATTTATAAGTCCTATTAGGGAGACTTATGTAATGTAAAGTCCTATGAAATTTCTTATTGACTTTAAAGTCCTATTTAAATTAGAAAGTGTTCCATTAAATCCTATCTATTGTGTTTTAATAGAATGAGTTTACTATTATACCCCTGATATATGTTGCAATGTTTTAACCGTTTTGTTTCCATATTGTTTGGTGCCGTGATATGCGCCATGATCGCGGAGTCTGTTAGGTTTTCAAATTTTTATTGGGTTGGATGGTTTGGTTGTTTCATCTTGCCACTTTGGAGTCAGATTGTTTGAGGGAAGGAGATCAAGTTGTCTGCTTATTCAATTGCTGAGTGTTGCTCTGGTTTTTTTTTTGAATGTTTTGTTTTCAATGTCCTCATATATCATATGGATTTCGCAATCTGTCATAGCAATCCATTGGCACACTTTGTTATGGTAATCTTGCATCAACTTCCGTGGTAATGATATTGTGTTATAATGTTCACATACATGTCACATTACGTTTCGTAATAGTATTTTACGATAGCTTATTAGATTAGAAATTGAGAATGTGAGAATGTTGCTGGGTTCTGCGAAATGGTACAGCCATACATTGGCACAATTCTGTAGACTCGAAGGCTGTTACGTGCGTAATGGTCTATGTTACATTCCTTTGTATTTAGTTTGTGTTTTGCAGTTATGCTACTTTTTCAAAACATGTGTGTCACATTACGAATCACAAAATTATTGGGCTTCATTTTTTTCCTTCTCAATGTTATATTTGCTTGTTTGTGGATACTATTGGAATGTATGTGAATGTAGCTCACATACACATGGAGAAGGACTTGGTTTTCGTATTGTGTTGTCTTATTCTTGTATTTACTGTGGACATATGTGTCACATTTCGTTTCGCAAACTCTTTGGTTTCTATTTTTTACAATTAAATGTGACAATTGTATCAGTTAATGGAATTTATTAGAATGTATATTAATGTTAATCTAACTTCTCTTTGTATGTTATTTAATTTGGGTTGTCATTGTTCATATATAAAATTGAATGTGATTGATTGTGATTGAATGTGGGTTGGACCACGTTGTACGATGTCGATGTTGCGGCGCTTACATTTGATTTCATGTCACATATCTTCCATGCTTTGTTCTTTTGTTTTTTGTAGAATGTATGCCACAGTTAATGTTTCATTCATTTTGTTGTGCAGGATATGGACATCATGTTTTTTTGCACCTTCGGTTCATCCACGGTTACTGTCAGGGGTGTTAATGGATCGGCATTAAAACGATTGATACAAAATTTATGTGATAGGTGGGTGGATGTGACACCATCATTGATTTCAATATCCTACAAATTACTGTGTCACGAGAATCAAGTCATGATATGTAATGACGTAGACATGGAAAACATGTTTTCCATTGCGAGGTCCATTGGTGTTACCCATATCAACATTGCAATTGACTCGCAAAATGAGCTGGATGATTTGAATCGAGGTACTCAATTCAGTGGGACTATGTCTGCAAATCAACTGAATCCTTACAGTGAACCATTTACAGGTCCCCAACCTAGCGTAGATTTGTTGCCCAATTATTGTCGCTATAGTGAGAAAATGTTGATGACAGTTGATTGGTCACACGGCATTAGTCATGTAGGCCAATGTTTCGAAGGGAGTGTTGATGCTTTCCATTTGGTTTTATCCAAATATGCTATTGAGTGTGGGTTTGGCTTCAAATTTGTTAAAAATGATTCAATGCGGGTTACGGCAGTGTGTACGTTACGAGAGAAAAAAGGGTGTTCATGGTTGATTTGAATCGAGGTACTCAATTCAGTAGGACTATGTCTGCAAATCAACTGAATCCTCACAGTGAACCATTTACAGGTCCCCAACCTAGAGTAGATTTGTTGCCCAATTATTGTCGCCATAATGAGAAAATGTTGATGACAGTTGATTGGTCACACGGCATTAGTCATGTAGGCCAATGTTTCGAAGGGAGTGTTGATGCTTTCCGTTTGGTTTTGTCCAAATATGCTATTGAGTGTGGGTTTGACTTCAAATTTGTTAAAAATGATTTAGTACCGGTTACGGCAGTGTGCACGTTGCGAGAGAAAAAAAGGTGTTCATGGTTGATACATGGAAGGGTTCAAACATGCAATGGTTATTTTTACTTGAAGAGGTTGAACAACTTGCATAGTTGTGGTGCTGTTGTTCGCACTGGGAAGAATAACAGACTTAACTCTGAATTGGTTTGCAATGTTATTGGTGATCGGTTATGTGATAAGTCGCTTACACGTCCCACTGACATCGTGTTTGACCTAAAAAAAGAGTACGACCTTAATGTTAGTTACCACGTAGCATGGTTAGGTGTGGAAAAGGCAAGAGGCGAAGTGTATGGTGACTATCATGTTTCATTTGATCAACTTAGGTGGTACGCGGATGCGGTTATGCATTACAACCCTGGGAGTTATGTCAACTTGGATTTTGAGTAGTCTACAGGCCGATTTAAGTGATTCTTCATTTCATTCAAAGCTTGCATTGACGAATTCAACCATATCTGCCCATTATTGTTTCTTGACGGCACTTTTTTAAAAGGGAGATTTATAGGCAATTTGCTTACAGCGATGGGAAAGGATGGTAACAAAGGTATGTCTCTTACGATGATTACTTCATACTTCCAAATAGTAACGCATTACATTGTGGCTAACCTTTTTTTTAAAGTCCACTAGAGTAGTGGGTGATCCCTAATTGCAAGATTGTTTCCAATTTAATGTTATTTTACTAACATTGTGTGTGGTGCGATTCGAATTATGAACAATTGTTAATGTGGACGTAAACTTTGTTAAAAATATTTCATCTAACGGTAAACCTGTTAAATCTGCCAGGTTTATTCCCATTAGCTTTTGCTATTGTTGACTCTGAAACAACTGCAAATTGGACTTGGTTTTTGAAACAACTGACGAAGGTTGTTAGTAGTGCTCGCACATTAACTTTCGTATCCGACCGTAATATTGGGCTACTTGAATCCTTGCCTGCTGTATTCCCATCTGCACACCATGCGTACTACTTACAACATCTCCAAGTAAATTTGAGGGACAAATTATGATGGGTTGACAACCGTGTACGTTTTGGTTTAATGGCCAAGTTGCGTGAATGTGCGTATGCTCCAACCGAGGCTTCATTTTAGTAGCATTGGATGAAGCTAAAAGGAACAGGACGATCTGGAATAAATAATTTCTTGGAAGATATGTGTAGACACCCCATTTTTGACCGACCTCAAGACTTTGATGTCATCGTTTGTGCACGCGATGATTGCGCATGTTTGTGCTCATTTCGAGTTTCCAGGGCTTTCGGTTGAGCGCCTTGTCTCGGGACCTCTTAACTCTCTTCTTCTTGGTTTGTTTTTGGACCATTGCCCTAGTGCCTTTGCCTGGAGGGAGAGAGAGGCCTGTAGGCCACTTTTTGTAGCTGTAGGCTACTTTTCTCTCTTGTAGGCCACTTGTAGAGGCCTGTAGGCTAGTTTTTGGGGCTTCCGGCTGAGTGCCTTGCCTTGTGGCCTCTTGGATCTCTTTCTTTTGGCTTGTTTTTGTGCCATACCTTGTTACCCCTTGCCTAGAGGGAGGGGAGAGGCTGTCGGCCACTTTTGGTGATTGTAGGCCACTTTTTCCCCCTATTGGCCACTTTAGGTGGTCGGTAGGCTAGTGGAGGTGGCCGACGGTCATTTTCTTGCTTTTGTAGATATTTTTATTGCCAGCTATGCCGGCTGTTGGGCACAGAAGGCATCCTCCATGTGTATGGAGGGATTGCACCAAGCTTCTAGCTTGTCAAACAAGCTTAAGAGTTGAAATTTATAAGAAGGGAGCCTACTCTTTTCCAGAGGTTCAGAATTTTGGGAGGGTAAAAATTTACTCTCTCTCTATATTTCTCTCTCTCTCTCTCTCTCTCTATATATATATATATATATATTGAGCCTCAAGGTGTTGTTTCTTCACACTTTTGCACACAAACACCGACTCAAACACCTTCATTTTGGAGCTGAGGTCCCTTGGAGCTTGTTTTGAGGTCTTGGCATTGGTTTTGGTCCAAGATTGTTGCTGAAGTTGCTGTCTTGCCTTAGTTCTTCAACGGTAAGAGACTAGCCCCTTTTAAAGCTTTGTTTTGTTTAAGCATTTGGCCATCTTTGCATGTTTTTTTAGGCCAAGCTTTCAACTACAAAAACTTTTGTTTTTAAGTGTTTAAGATGTTTGTTTGAGGCCTTGTTTGAGTTAGGGGTGGTCTACCTCCTTTGTGCCTTATTTTGCTTTGCCTTGAGCTATCCTTTGAGGCCTTTGAGATCACCTTTGTTTGGCCTTTTCACCATTGAATTCCAGAGAAATTTCAGTGGTGAAAAGTGGGTTTTGAGACCCAAAATAGATGGGGGTGGTCCTCCCCTTTTGTGCTTTGTTTGCATGTGTTGTTGGCTTAACACTTTGGCATGTTTTTCTACCTTCTTAAGGCTCTATCTTAGCATGTTTTAGGCCATATTTTAACATGATATAACTCTATTTTGGGTTGGTTTGATTGCCTCTTGCATGCTTCACACACTTGTAGTGCAATCCTCCTTATAGCCTTAACATGCATCATGCTTTGTGCCTTTAATTCTAGCTTGTTTTAGCTCTGCTCGAGTAGGTTCTTAGCCTTGTTTTGACTTTGTTAGACTTTGTTTGGAATGATCTTGGCCCTTTGAGGCTTTCCTTGTATGGCCATAATGTAATGGCCTTTGCTAGTCTTATGTCTTGGGACCCCTAGTATGCCTCATTTGTGACATTTGTGTGATATAGCATCATTTGGCATGTAAATTCAGAGCATAAACTGCTGTTATACTCTCACGTTTATCACTCTTTCATTTTGTTTAAGAGTTGTGCCTTTGTGCCTTGTTTGTGAGCTAATACATAAGCATATCTTTCTTGCCATCTATGCTGCGAGTCTAGTATGTTTTTGGTACTGTTTTGACCTGCCTTAGGTCTGTTTAGGGCTGGTTTAGTCCATTGAGCATTGTATTGCATAGTCATAGTGTTGTGTACCTCACTAGCTTTAATGCTTGAGTCTTCTAGCATGCTATACTTGTGTTGTTTGCATGATATGTCATCATTTGGCATATGATTTCAGTGCTTGTACCTCTGTCATGCTCTCATATATGTCCCCCTTTTAATGTGTTTGAAAGTTAAGCTTTATGCTTTGCTTGCGAGCAAATGAATGAGCATACATTTCTTACCTTTTTGTGCCTAAGTCTTAATGTGTTTTGGCCACTGTTTTAAGATGTCTTAGGTCTGTCCATAGTTGGCTTGACCATTTGAGCATTGTAGTGCATGCCCCATGTGTAAAACACTTCACTACCTTTGATGTCTTAGCTTCTAAACATGCCATGCATGCATTGCTTATATGATAGAGCCTCATTCATACCACTCTAGTATTGATAGATAAGCATGTTGTTTGCATATGTGATGCATTGCATGTGTTTGGATCGGACGTTAATCCAAACACAAGAAATGAGGGGCGTTTCATACTTGAAGTGATGAAACGTGCCTCATTTCTTAGTCGCCATCCCCCTTGATTGTGCATGATAGGGTGGAGGCCTCTCGAGTCTTGTGTGTTACTTGTGCATTCATTAACTTGTACAAACTCAGCTTCTCAACCATCGTGGATTGCGATGCTCGGTTGGTGGCCCGAGAGTCGAGTACCGCACTCCTTTGAGCTTGAGAAATGATAAGGAGGGTGGTTGTACACACATACCCTGCAAATGCCTTGCTTTGCCCTTGTTGAACTCTATTTGCAGCAAAATGGAAGTGTGCAGAAGCAACTGGCCGACCGGCCAGAGGAAGTGGCCGACCGGCCACTTTAAATGGCCTACAGCCTCCTTAAGTGGCCGACAAGTGGCCTACAACTTCCCCTGGTGGCCGACAGTCCACCAGCTTGAAGATGGTTCAAAGTGATTCTGGTTCTGGAGCAGAAGCAGTCTGGGAAGTGGTTCAGTGTTCAGGAATCAAAGCGAATGCAAACAGAGGCAACAGGTGGCAGGACGACGGGATTTCAGGAGGAAACAACCGAGCATGCATGCATCCCTTGTCCTCGAGGCCTTTTAACTGCTTTACTTAGCTAGTTAACTTGTTGGTTCTGTACTTAAATAGTTAATGTGCTTAGCTATTCATTTGTGTTTGTAATTAGTTAACTAGTTAGTTAATTAGTTGTGATTTGTAATAGTTAGCTTAATTAGCGTAGCTAGTTAGCTTTCATTTCATTCGGACCCTCCATCGAGAGGGCAAATGTTGTAATAAGTGTACGTGTGTGCGTGAATGTCTTCCAACCCCATGTCTTTCTCCCTTTCATTTACCAACTTTTGATGGTTAGTTTTAGGGCATGTTTCAATTAGCATACTTATGCTTTGCATGCGTGCATCATTCATTCGTCTTGCATGCACCGGGCTCAGCGCATCATTCAAACTGCATTGTATTTCAATACACTTTCTTGAATACGTGTTCCAAAGCATGTTATCAAGTGTTGCATTCATATGCCATCTTAGATAGCCGAGCCTATTTTAGTGGTATTTTTGCATGTGTTGCATTAGGCACTTAACATAGTTAGGATCATGTATTGATTTCTAATTAGCTTCTGTCTTGGCTGGGAGTACACTGTAAATGTTTACGCTTTAGCATCCTTGCATGAGTGTGAGTGTTGCCATGATAGCATGCTTGCCATAAGGCTATTTGCTTAAGTGATTAACTGTTTGAATGCCTGTGGATGGAGGCTTGATTGCCTGAATTGGAACAACTCGATGATTGTGAGTTTTAAGCCCACTTTGCGAAGTGGCAAAACCATGTTTTAAGCCCACTTGAGGGTGGCAAATTTGTGTTTTAGCCTACTTGTGAGTAGCACTTCCAAACATTTTCGAAGAACAAACATGAGTTGTTTTGTTCCAATCCGCATGATTGAGTCTATACTTGTATGCTGTGTGCATCACATAGTAAGGTTAGCTAATAAACCGGAATAAGAACACATGTGTTTTCAAAACCACATATCATGTTAGTAGAGGCGGATCCTTTGATCGAGCGAGCAGGGGTCCTCATTTTAGGACCTTCCCCTCTCGTACCCAAGTTCCCAAGCCGAGACAACTTTGGTGATGACGGACACGTGGCCTTAGGCACGAGTCAGGATTTCCTAAATTTTTCAAAATAAAATATTTAGGTGGCGACTCTGAAATCTGGCAAAGCAGTCCATGTTTGGCGCTTTTTGATTAAAATCGATTTTCCAAAACGATTTGCCGGATTTGGACTCTTTGGTGATTTATCAGTCTTACATTGCACTTTGTAAGATTAGATTCAGAACCGTGATAGGAGTCCGAACTGTAGTAGCTAGAACCCAATTTGCGCTTTCTCCGAAAAGGGGGGCGCGCGGAGAGAGTTCCAGGCAGTCTACAATATGCCACCGAAGCATTGGGCCAACGCATATTTCAGGTTCGTCCGAGACTTACATGTGCTAACATTGCAAGTACCCAATATGTGATAGCATTTTCATTATATTTTCATAATGTGAATAGGGGCAAACGGTATGGGGAGATGACCTCAAACGCTGCAGAATCGTTTAATAAATGGATACTTGATGCCCGTAATTATCCAATCACAAGGTTGGTTGATACAATCGGAAATCAAATAATGACTATGAGGGCTGAGCGTAAAGTTTTGGCTACTAATTGGAATGGGTTACTTTGTTCGAAAATGGAAAGTCGTGTTAGGGAGGTGTACTCCAATGGTTGCACATGGATTGTTAGCCAGTCAAATGAAGACATATACGAGGTCCATTTATTTCAAACGGTGTTGGTAGACGTTGGCAAGTGTTCGTGTTCTTGCTTCCAGTGGCAATTGAACGGATTCCCATGTGCACATGCAGTGGTTGCAATACAGAGTAGTGGAAGGGATTTCAGTACATGTGTTGAACAAATTTTCACCGTTGATCAGTATAAGGCCGCTTATTCCGGATACATTCAGCTAATACCAACCGTTGACAAACCCTCATTCTCGGAAGACGACTTCATCATATATCCACCGGCAGTTAAACCTCCTCCAGGGCGACCCAAGAAGAATCGAATACCATCTCGGGAAGAGAAACTAAGTCAGATTATGTGCAGTCGATGTGGCCGCATGGGCAACCACAACCGAAATACATGTAAAGAACCAATTTAGTAATAGGCATTTAGCAGGAACTTTTGTAATCTGTTTTGAACAGCAGCATCGTATTATCGTAGTAGCATGTATCAAAGCCAATTGATGACATATTTTAATAAGTGAAGACACTGTTTACAATTGATCATTCAGCTATTTTTTCTTTCACACTGTCTCATTCATATGTTAGTGTTACATATTTATTTATTTGGTCATGAAAATGTATGTTTCAGACCTGCAAAATACGTTTGACAAAATGTGTTGCACGCTAGCCTTGTATGTGAGAAGACATTTATTTTGTAACATAGGTGATGTTGTTGTTATTGTCTCCATATTGCAGGTTATCGCGCAACCAGTTAGCCAATGTTAAATTACAGCAAATTCTTGACATATTAAATTGTCAAAGCCAACCAAGATTCCTTCTCACTTTCTCATTCACATTCACCTATACGTTCACATTCACATACACCTACCTATTCGCAATCACATTAAATTTTGCAATATCATTTACACGAACACATTCACATTCCTATTTTCCCACTCAGTAAGAAAAGTGCACAAAATTGTTACACATTCGGCAGTACAATCTTGCTATTAAATGCAGACAACGAAACCTGTTCTAACAAACACAATCACATCCAATTTCACATTCACTATCACATAAACATAACAATTCACATTCACACAACCACATTCACATTTGTATTTCACATTCGCAAAAGAGTGCAAAACGCTGTCATACATTCACATTTGCATTTTGGGTGTTACAGGTATACAACCAAACCTGTTCTGTCATTCACATTCACATTCCTTGTCACATTCACCATCACATAAACATAATCCTTCACATTCACACAACCACATTCACATTTGTATTTCACATTCGAAAAAAAGTGCAAAACACTGTCATACATTCACATTTGCATTTTGGGTGTTACAAGTATACAATCAAACACGTTCTGTCATTCATAATCACATCCAATTTCACATTCACAATCATATAAACGCAACCCTTCACATTCACATAAACACATTCACATTTGTATTCCACATTCGCAAAAAAGTGCAAAACACTGTCATACATTCACATTTGCTTTTTGGGTTTTACAGGTATACAACCAAACATGTTCTGTCATTCACATTCGCATTCCTTGTCACAATCACCATCACATTTACATACAACTTCACACTCACTCAACCACTTTCACATTTGCAATTTCACATTCCCTAATACAAGTACCAAACACTGCCATACATTCACAAACACAATCTGTGTATTAGAAATGAACAACCCACATCGTTTTATGGCATTACCATTCACATTCACCTCACATTATGAGTCACATTACCAATTATATTCACATTTACGCAACCACATACACACTTATGTAGCCAACATTCCTACTGCGCTTAAATTCCTATTGACATTACTGAATGACACATAAAGCCATATTAACAAAATAAAGTGCATACCCAGAAAAATCAATTAACCATTGTTGCCTATTCCCAAAACAAAATACACTAATCAGTAATCCATATTGACAATGCAACCAAAAATATCAAAAACATCCAATTTTTCCTATACCAGCAAACTTTTTATACCATTCCAAAACAAATAAAGTGTGATTATATACCGAAAATATCAAATCTGCACCCATATACCACCATCAGAAGATAGTCAATTGCCAGCCACAAATGACCTTCTCCTGTCATTCACAAATGACTTCACCATACCGGCTCGCATTGTTCTGCAGTTCTCCCCTCCCATTGACTTGTCAACATCTAGGTGGTGCACAAGTTGCTTCATAATGAAGCATACTATAATTCCACAATCATTCCTATTACGAAAATTTAAGTCATTAGTGACAATGTCAAAACAGACCACGTGCAATGTACGGAAACATGAATGGCATATGTTGCAAAGAAACGTAACAAACTTACGAGTTTGATTTTTGCTGTGGACAATAATCAATAACTAGAAGCTCCTTCACCAAGTCTTGTGTTTCAACTGTACCCATCCTCAGTCTGCGATTTATGTAACCCTGAAAGTCGGATTTCTACATTATTGTCAAATTTATATTACAATAATTAGTTTAGTTGTCCAAAATAAAATACAAATATCACTGCAAGAAAGTAATTGATGTTTACTAACCAGCAACCATGCTTCCCAGTAATGTTTGTCTTCCCTCCCACGTCTTGGTTTCATAGAGTTGTAATGCATCCAAAACCCCTCCTCAGTGTCATAAACCATTAGTGTCCAATGGTTATCTAAGTAGATTGGGAATTGAATATATCTGGCCTTCAGGGCATGCGGGGCACGCATTGCCAAGTACCTGTCACGTACATCTTTGGCCACATCTCTTATCGTAGGCTGCAGGCATTCATTTTGGAAATTTAAAATGACAAACTAAAAATGACAATATTCATTTCATCAGTTGCATGTCTTACCAAACATAATGTGCTGAAAATGTATGATTTTTCCTTATCTGCGGATTTAGGCGCCTTCATCTGTTGCTCGTATATCAGCATTTCCGCATATGCATCAATCACCTATGTGAAAAAGAAAACAATTTTTATTTTCCTTCTCTTCTATACATGTACGTAAATTGCATTCTATGTGAAGAAGCTTCAGAAGTTTCACGAATAATTAGAAATACCATACTTACATTGCCTCGTAATGTTAGCCCCGTAACGATCGCCCGTATGTCATTGAAAGACACAGAGTTGGTACCATTCTGCCCAGTCCAGACTTGCGCACTACAATACATTTTTTGACCAATAAATTCATGTACAAATGCAAAATAGTAAGAGCAAGTTGCATAACCTACCTGTCACCCCCTTTCTCATATGCTTCTTTAAGCTTGTCTTTCTTTTGCGTTGACAACAACTTCCAGATTGGTAAACGATTAGTCAAGTCGAATCGAGAAAATGTCCTATCTGGGTCTGCAATGTTAGCCTCAATGATCTCATCTTCCATTTTTTGTTTACTGGCACACTCACCCCCATTGGCCACACCATTATTAGATGATTTCATCTGCGTCCCCAAAACCAGTGGATATTCATACTTTGGCAGTTTATGCTGATTTCTATTTTTCTTTTTAATGTTTCTCACAAAGCGAGTTCTGCAACACAGCTATTCCAGTGTTTTGATTAATACCAGCCATTAAATCCACATCACAAGCCATTGCCCAATGTCGTTGATCAGGGTCACATGAGTATCCACCCCTTGTAACTTTGTCTTCTCATTCACATCAGATGGAAACGATGTTAACAATGGCATAATGGCAAGTACGTTTGCCTCACAGTGGTATTCTTCAGACGTAGACGCACACTGAACACACTGATCATTACTCTCAACACCAACCCCACTGCGATTTGAACATTCGGCCTTTGCTCCAATTTGTTTAACGTCTTTCGTCTTCATGAAGCACCGTTCAGAATGACTGATGTGTAGATCTCCTACCACAACCTGCAAACAATTTGAAAATAAAAAATAAAAAATAGTATTTGCCACATCTAATATTTACTCTAATGGTACAGAAAATCATACTTCAACATCATGTGGCTGCTCAATGTCCATTGCTCTTATCTTTGTGACCAACTTGCTGATATTCCATTTCATAAACCTCGGAAATCCATCTCCACGATCTGTTTGTATGAAGTTGATGTGCTTACATATCCAAAACTATGTGACCATGGGTTAAAAACATTAGCTGTAAAAGTTTTTTCAAAACAAATACATGTGCTAAAGCTACGAAACAAAATCAAAGTTATATTATTGGAAAAACAAAAAAATAGAGCACTTACAAGGAGAGCAGTAACACATCCAGTAACTTTCTCAGGCTTAGAGTAAAATCCCTTAATTGACTCCATCAAAGTTGTGCAGATTGCTCCAGCCCAATCATATGCCTTCATGTTCTCTAGATCCTCTGCAACCCGGACGAATCCCCATCCCACGGTCTCGCCTGAAGTAGCAAAGAATAACTTCCCACACAAGTACAAACACAGTAACTTTGCTACATCCTGGTGATCCTGAGTAGTGTTCCCGAGTAATGCATCCATTAACAGCTCCTTAATGGTCTTCAAGTTTATGCGTGCTATGTTGGGACACCTTCGTTGGATGAAGTCAGTCGGGAGTCTTAGCCCATGTGACATATCTAAACTCTTCTTACCACCATGAATTCCAAATATTAGTTGCATATCGATGCTCATCAACTCAATGTGTTTACCACCAATCATGAAAGCTGACTTTTTTGGAACAAATGCCTGAATGATCCTCATTACAATGTCATCACATTTTTGGAATTCATGTTGGTTTAGATCAGTTTTTCGCATCGCATCCAACAGCAATCAGAATGGTGTTTTCTGAAGATGTTGCAAATGCTCGTCTTTCAGTTTAGACGCTGCCACCAGCTTCACAATTCCAGCAATGTTGAACGGTAGCAAAATCTTGGTTGTTTGTTCAATCATTGTTGAGGCTCATATTTCAGCTTCTTTCTTTTTTGGGCACTGCTTTGCCCTAATGCATTCACATTCTGTGACGGAGTTTGAAACCGCCGTCTTTTACCTGTTGTAGTCTCTTCACAGCTACTCACTTTCGTCTTGTAGCCTTTCTGTGGTGTACCTTTAATTGTGCCTCTTGAAAAAAATGCCACCAAAATTTCACATTTCACATACAAGCAAGATCCCACTGAAAACGTATGTGAATATGTAATGTAATAGCAATACGTAACATTGCATGTCAGTATGTTCGTGACGTGACTAATGTGACTGAGAAGTACTTGACGTGACTGTGACTAATTACACGCCCACATTCACGGCCATGGTGACTAATGTGACTGAGAAGTACTTGACGTAACTGTGACAAATTACGCGCACACATTCATGTTTTCAAATGTGACTGAGAAGTACCTGATACCGTGAATAATGTCAGACATTCCAATTAATGTGATAATCTGAACCCAAAGAAAACCAAGGTTGTGAAATTTATCTCCAAAATATTCATTGCAAATTCACAGTTCAAACATGTAATATTGTCCCCGCGACCATGATTAGAAATGTGACTATGAAGTACTCGACGTAACCATGAAATACATACAGACATGCCAATTAATGCAATAAGTTGAACCCAAAAATAAAAGAAAATGTGCTACGTGAAGCTTGTCATTGAAAACTACTACAAAAACAAACGTGATGTGACACTTTTTACATGTCCTGTTGTGTTGTTCATATTCATTGTACATTCACAGTTCAAACATGTAATATTCGCCCCGAAAATTCCAATAGACATTATAACGAAATTTATTGTCACACAACTCAAAAATTTAAAAATAATTTCGCACCCACATGCACGACCATGATTCAAAAAGTGAATGTGAAGTACTCCATGTGACCATGAATACTGTCAGTCATGCCAATTCCTTTAATAATCTAAACCCAAAAATAAAAGATAATGTGTTACGTGAAGCTTGTCAACGAAAACTACTATCAAAACAAACGTAACCTCTTCATATGCTTGCATCAAATCACAACCACACAACCCAAATCATGTTACATTTTTTGTTTCTCTCCATGCCACAATCTACAAACACTGTCCCTCGAATATTTGACAAATTCACAAACATGCAAGCAGATCAAAATAAGACGTGGCGCCAGCCACGTCCGTCAACTTACTTGTATATCTGAGTGAAAACAACCAAACGACATCGTACCACAACGGGGCACTGTACACACAGTCCAATTTATATGTGCTTCCACTCACATCTGACACTAATTTCATATTGGGCCACAATCACATTCATTAACTGTAACTCACACACAACACCAAGACGTGGCACCATTCACATTCAACAACTAGTTTTAAAAATTTAAGGCGCATAACCAAACGACATCGTACCACAACGAGAAACCCCCAAAATAGTCTACCAAACCCAATACTATGCTCGGATCGAAAAAAAAATAAAAATAAAATCAATTAATGAATGTGACTGTGGCCTCCAAAATAGTCTAGCAAACCCAATACAACAACGAATCAAGCATAAATCACCCACACCGGTCAACCCGCAGAACCTCCATCGTACAACCCCAACATACATACAGATTACGACTGCAGGTTACATAAACCCTAGTTTTGGGTTGTTAATAAAAATCAAATAAATAAACATTGCAAAACAGTGGCAAATCCACACTTACGTTTCGAAGTCATCATTTCTCCTTCTTACCGTAGACGATAATCGTTATCACCTTCCCCTCGAACGTCTTCGTCGAATCGCGCCCCTTCTCCTGTTCGTGGTGAGTTTCGAAATATTAACAACTGAATCAGCAGTTTACATTAGCGTAGAGGCACAAAACATATCTACTTGTTTTTAGCCCCTACAATTTTGCCAAACTGATCCTTTGATTCCCACAAATAACGTGTTTTTTGAATTTCAAAATTAATGTATATGGATATGATCTATGGTAACATTCATTTTTCTATATATGGTTTTTATATTATTAATGATATTAACAACTACTATTAAGGGTAAATGTGTTAAGTAACTTCCCATAGGCCTTATGAGAATATAAGTTTTTACTTAGGACTTAACATACCATAAGTGTTCGAAATAAGACTTATAAATAATTCTCCCCTTTTTTAAAACAATCAAATGGGTTGGAATAAAGAAAAAACAACTGTTGTGAAGCAAGCCAAAATGCAGCAAAGATGGAGGTAGCAAGCAGATATAGGCAAAATGACAAGAAGATCTTTTGCCAAGCATTGGACACTAATTATTTGTGAAGAGCCAAAATCGAAATGGACAAAATATTTATTGTGATGTAGAGCCCTTTGGAAGAAGATCAAAACAACTTCACTAACAAATTGTCTCATATAGCCCTTTTGCCTCCTTGAGGTTGCTCTAGATATATAAATTATCGATTGAAAATAAATAAAATTATGTTGCTTTGGTGAAACTGGAAAAAGGTTGAAGGGTGGGACATGCAGCTTCTCTGTAGTCCAAGAGAGGGTAATTACGCCTACCAAAACAATTAATTACACGAGAAAGTCGGGCAACCCATATTTACACATTTAAAATTTTTTAAGTGTGATAAAAATTAATTTGTATAGTGGGGGTCTATGTGGAGTTATTATAGAGTGTGATAGAGATTATTTATTAAATAATTTCTAAATTGATAAAAATGGACTTGAAGTATTATTATTATTGGCCTTCGTTTGGCTAACTTAGTTGGGCGAAAAAAATACAAAAGACATAATATAGAGCTAATAAAACAAAATATCATATCTAAATCATAATTATTTTATTTTTTCTCTCAAAAAAATTTAAAAAGCCAAACAAACTAAACCAAATGAACTTTTTAATGTCCAACTAAAGAAGTCTTAATTCAAAAAAATTAATTTAAAAGTCAATGTCAAACGAGAACTTAACTATATTTAAGGCCTCGTTTGACAAGTTAACATTTTAGCTAAAAAATTAAAAAGTTACTAAAAAAAAATCAAAAAACTTATAAGCTATACCAAAAAATCAAAGATTTCATTTTCTTTCTACTTTTTACACATCTTTTTGTAAAAATCAAAAAACCACTTCAAACATATTAATTTTTTTTTACTTTATATTTTAATCAAAAAATTAAAAAATTACTAATATAATAGGTTCTCAGACGAGATCTAATAATAGGAAATTAAAGAGTGGCAAATCCAACTAGAATCAGCCAGCTAATACAAGAAGACAAATAAGACTTTTTTGGTGCCAAGATTTGCACGATGGTAACACTTTTTAGAGAGAGAATCTTAATATAAGATATCATTGAATATAAAACTATAAAATTAGAAAAATGAGCTACATCCATATAAGTAATTAATTAATATAATGTCGGCAGATCACTCATTATGGGGATAAGTGAGTATAGTTTAATTCGAATTCCATTCATCTGGACAATATTTTCTTGGCTATCAAATCCGTAATAATATAATCCTTAAAAAAAAAATTAAAAAAAATAAAAAAACGTGGTCAAATGTTGTAATGTTGTTACCTAAGAACATTGAGAAAAAAAACATTTACCATTTTTAGTGTAGGTAGTGTTTGGTAATGTTTACGTTTTTTATTTATATCTATAGAAATTTTATAAATTAGTTTTTGTTTATTTTTAAAAAAACATAAACTGCAAATGCGTCTGGTTTGAACAAAATGTTTGAAATTTTTTAAAAATATAAACTAAAAAATATGTTTGTTCAGGTCTAAAATATTCATATTTATTTTTTATTATTTATGACAATGGAATCATACACATTATAATTGAATAAAATAATTAATTAAAAAAATTAATTGGGAAAAAATTAATTGAAAAAAAAATTAATTGAAAAAAAATTATTGAAAAAAAATTATTTGAGAAAAAAATAATTGAAAAAAAAATTGTTGGTCAAATTTTTAAATTTCTGTTTAAAAACTAACGTAAACTCATCTTTTGAGTTTACGTTTTTTAGTCAAATTTATTAACTAAGATAACCATTTATAAACCAAAAAAATTATCAAACAAATTTTTTTGACAACTTTTTAAATTTTTATAAATATAAATTAAAAATTAAAAACAAAATGATTACCAAATAGGCCTTTAGGTCGATGCACAGTGATATTTGGAATTTGGACTAGAAGCCCCTTCAGTCCTTTATTTTGATTGGAAGATGTTGTTTGGGCTCGAGAAACTCACTATAAATTTTGTTTTGACGATTCAAATCGTTTATTTTATCAGGTAATTTGTGTATTTTATTCATACAAAAAAATTAAGTCTATCTATTAATTATAATCTATTCAATTCATCGCGTTTGTCACAAAAAAAAAAAGACGATAATTGTATTTTTAAAAATATACGATTCATTCTTTCAGTAACAAATGCGATAAATTGAATAAGTTACGATTATCAAATTGACTTAATTTTTTATGTGAATAAAATTCACAAAGTGTCTAACAAAATAAACAATTTAAATAATTAAAATAAAACCCGTGGTGAGCCGCACAAGCCCAAAGCAACGTCCTCCAATTTGGATTAAGGGTTGAAGAGATCAACTTCCTTTGAATTTAAATTTACAAAAGGTCAAAAAAGTAACGTTTTACTTTTTTTTTTAATCCTAACAACAATTTTAATGATTGTTTGAGATTATCGTTTAAGTTTTACAATTTTGCTCACAATGACATGACATGTTATATGTCAACTTTCATTTTGTTAGAGCATTTCCAATATTGATAACTATTTTAACATTATCAAAACTATAATTTAGCATGTCACAGTAACAAAATACCAAATTATAGCAATGACTTGTTATTTTGGCACAATTCCTTTCTAAAAGACCCAATATACAAATATCAGTTCTGTTTTGAACAGAAATGGATACATTCGTATAATTATGACTCATATTTATGAGATGATAAAAAAATAGAAAAGACTATACCAAGATTGGTTCACGTAACCAATTTTTTCATTCTTTTTTTAGGTGGCTTTTCAATTGAATTTTTTAAGTGATTTTTTTATTGATTTTTATCGTCTTTTGTGATATTTTTAAAACATTTTTCAAGAATATATTTTTGTTTTCTACACACTAGGTGAACTAAAAGAAATTAAAAATATATATATATTAAAATATTGAAAAAAATTGGATTTTTTAATTCACCCATCATTCACATAATATTAAAAAATTGAAAAAAAAAATACTAACTACATTAAAAAAAAAAAAAGAAAATTTATAAGGGGAATTATAATTCTGCGTAATTAAAAAATAATAATGATAGATACATTTAAAATCTTATAATTTTAATTATAAATATTCATAAAATTTGTCACTGATATGTAATTATTTTCTCACTCTCCCTTTAACCGACGCCATCAACGGTGAACTCCCATGAAATCTAACCCTTATTTTTCTTCTTTTTCTCACTGAAAGAAGAGAAAAGTTCATCATAGCCTCTTTCTCTCACCAAAAGCCATCGATGGTGAACCCTTATTGATACTGAACCCCTTCCTTTATCAAACCTCGATTTCTTTATCTCAAACACAATCATTTGGTTTGGGAGATGACGATATGGGTTTCAAAAGCTACCAGTAGGATTATCACAATCGGAGATCAACTGTATCAGAGGTGTGATAACTGGAGATGACGATTAAAGCTTTCTCACAGTTCTCTCCAATGGTTTGGCCAAATCTATAATTTATTATTATTATTATTATTATTATTGATTTGTTAATTTTGGTGTTCGTTCAGCGCAAAAATAAATAAATAAATAAATAAATAAAGAACTAAACTCGGTTCCAATTCCATATAATAGGGCTAACTCTAGGTATCGATATATAGGAATTAATGTCAAATTTAACTATTTTATTTGCAAGATTCCTAAATTAATTCGATGAAAGTGATGGATGAATATTAAAACAAGAATTAAAATTAAAAATAGAAATTCAGTTAACACTAAATATTATGTATAGCGGCTCGGGTTATGACCTTATTCTTTTATACACTTTGGTTTGGAGTCTGGTATATATATATATATATATTTTGGTTTATGTCTATTCTAGTCTTATATTATGGTGTTTGGGAAGTTGTTACTTTAGTAGGCTATTTTAGTTTTTGACTATTTTAATAGGCTAAAATTTTTATGTTTAGGAAGATTGTTCGATTTTATTTTTTTTTTTTGTAATTGGATGTGATGTTTGTGAGACAAAAGATGAAAATGATTATCGATTTGATATGACATTTTGTCTTATTAGATATTTTAGCTTATTTTGTCTTTTTGTGAATTTTAAGTTAAAATCCAACTTGCCAAACACCCTCATTGTTGCTTGGGAGTTAAGAATTTGGTTTTGAGGTTGTTTGAATAGGTTGAAACTTAGTATTTCTGGGGTAATTCTGTCTATTTGTTCTTGGGTTTACTCGAGTGGTGAGTTGGTCGCTTGAGCAGTCTTCCGGTCCTCCCGGACTCTGTGGTTGCAGTCTGAACTTTTCGGAGTGGGTTGTGCTTTGCTCGAGTAGTGTTTTGGTCGCTTGAGTAGTCTATTTATAGTATGTAATACTGAGAGTTTCAATTTTTCGCTCGAGTGATGTTTTGTTTGCTGGAGCGATCTGTTTTGCAGGGTTGATATTATAGGAGTTTGGTTTCTCTGCTTGGGCAATGTTTTGGTCGCTCGAGCCATGTTTTGTGTTTGACACTCAAGCAGTGTTTTGGTCGCTTAAGCGGTCAGTTAGTACAAAGATGCATGGAAAGATTTTTTCTTTCACTTTTCTGATTGTTCTCTCTCTCTCTCTCTCTAAAGTGTTCGAAGCCAGTTTTCCCTGCTTTCTCTATATTTCCTACTTTAAATCTCTAATCTACCCAAATCCGTGAATCTTGCCACCATGGTGCTTTGAGATAAAAGGTAGAGCGCGAGGAGGTAATCGTTTTAATATGCAAAAGTTCAAGTTTCTTATATGTCGTTTGTGGGATTGTTCTTCCTGTTTCTTTCTACTATTGAGGTAGGGATTGCTTTAACGTTTATGTATGATATTTAGCTTTATTATATGTTCCTTGAATAGTGTAGCATTTTGAGATATTAGGGATTGATTGGGAGTTGATTTGGGTTTGAAATGAGTTGTGAAAGAGGGGTTTCAGAATGAGTTGTTTTGAAAGGTTATGGAAATGGTTGTCTTGATGAGAAGGGTTGAAATCTTCGAAACCTCTCTTTAAAATGGGTCTTTGAAAGAAACAAATATTGCTTTGAAAATCTTAGAAATTATTGGTTTTGGATAAGAATGAGAATGATTGGAAATGTTTGGATCCTCGTTGAGTTGGGAAGTGGAGTTGGAACATGTATTGTTACTTATATATTGAAATTTTGGAAATATTTGTTTACTTAAAATTATCTATTGAATAGAGATATCTATTTTGGTTATCGGTGGAGAATAGCACTGATTGTTGTAGCAATTGTATGAGAACTAGTTTAATGAAAACCATTCACTCGTGTATCTCTTATTTGAACATTGGATTTCATATTTTGTACATTGAAATGTATCGTTTTTGAGAAAAATGGGTGAATGCCTTGGTGAATCTAGTTAGGAGTGTGGTTGTGGTTATTATTATGTTCGCCTGTGTATTGTTGGTGAGAGTGCTGAAACCCACGCAGTTAGTTGTTGATCCTCTGGTTAACACTGATAAAATGGCTTTAGTAGTGCTTGTATAGCTTGCTAATAGACACGTACCTAGAGATTCCCAATGTGTGTATCTAATGCCTTATATTCTGTTTTGGAAGCAACGGTATATCAATTAAATTATAAACATGATATTACATTGTTTGAAAAAAAAAATGTATATTGTTTTTGGCAAATGGAATTCATTTACATTCGCAATGTGACTTTGTTAAGCATCATACAGAGCATTAAATTAGTCTCTTCTGGTCTTTAACTCACCTTATGTGACAACCAACTTTTAAGTACTGGTGATATGACTCTACCAAGGAGTTAGCTTGGGAGGATTGTGGGGCTAAAGGGCTAAAGGCTTGTTCTATTTTTTGTTTGTAAATGTATCTAGTACAAGCCTAGGGCTTTTATTTGTATTAGGTATCGATCTACGTCTGTTGTAACCAAGCATCATCTTGGAAAAATGTAGCCATTAGGGCATGAACTCATTTTTATTTCTTTTAATTTCAATGTTTATCTGTCACGTGCTATAGATTCATGATCTAGGGTTAATGAATATATTATTGCATATGACATCTTTGTAATATCTCTAAGGAATCAATGAATGAAAGATCGTTATGGGAAATGCTTTAGTTATTGAATGATTAAGAGATTTATTATTAGTAAACTTCTGCATATCTGTTGAGTTTGATGAGGATATCTATTGTTAATATTTTTGGGGTTTTACAACTTGGTATTAGAGCTTACTAAGTTTGAATACCTTGAGCTTATGGGACGTGGTTATTATCATAATAGGTTTTATCACAATGGGTTTGTTTTGCTAGATAGTAATAAACGTATATTTGGTATGCTATGTGATAACATGCTTATATGATTAAGTAAGTATGGGATTTAGTTTCTAAGCTATTGATTGTGTTTACAAATTTCTGGAAGTCCTGTTAGAAGAGCACTTGATTACTGCTAATTCTAACAAGAACTCTAGTAATGTCACTAAATAGTTATTATCTAGAAAGAAAATTCGTTTGTGAATACGTGATTCAATGCTTGCATGAAGTAAATCATTGTGTTGTCCACTATATTAGGACGCGTGTGAATTAGTTTTGGCACATTTTTGAATGTGCTAAATTATTCGTGTTATCTTAATTAGGATGTCAGGACACAAACGTGGTAGTGGTAGAGGAGGTAGGCATAGTAGGCCTAAATGTTAAGAAGTGCCAATTCAAGATGAAATTCTGCAACAAGAAGAGGGTGTTGGTCAGGCAAACATGGCTGAGCCAGTGGGCTAGCAAGCCAATGGGTGCTTTAGCCTAGGAAATGGCAGGAGCATTGCGGGAATCCATGACATTCTCAGGGCTGAGAATCAAGTCTAGACCCGCGTTGTTGAGACATGGTCATTCTTTTTGAAGAGGGAGTTTTTCCAATCGAATTCAAACGAGTTTGTGGATGATCCAAAAGAGCCACTGAAGGCTGATGAGTGGCTTGAACAGATAGTGAAGACGCTTGAGATGCTTTGTATCGACAATGATGGTTTAAGGGTGACCTTGGCAGCCTTTTTGCTTAAAGGCAACGCGGGTCAATGGTAGAAGTTTGTGAAGGGCCGTATTGAGGATGACTTATAAGGCATTCGTTACTGTCTTCCAGGACAAGTTCTTACCATCCACGGTAAAAGAGAAGTTGAGAAAGCAATTCCTAAAGCTCAAGCAATTGAGCAGACCAGTGGCTGAGTTTGAGGCGACCTTTACTAGCCTTTTGAGGTTTACACCAGAACTCGTGGCAACGGAAGAACGATGTTGTATTGAGTTCAAGAAGAGGTTGGGGACCAGGCTCTTAATGATTTGTAATTACGACCGTTTGGTTGAGTTTGTGGCCCATTTGGAGGTATTGTTTTAGACGGAGGAGGATCGGATGAGAGGCTCCAAGCAAAGAGGGTAGGATTCTCAAGAGGATGTGATGGACAAGAATAAGTAGAGAGTTTCTACCTTATAGCAATCCCAGGCACAACAATCTAGATCTATCTTTCCTGTGCCTAGTTCTGGTTTGGAGAAAGGCAATCAGGGTGGATTCATGTACTTGAAGTGTGGTCAATTGGACCACGAGTCTCTAGCATGCTCGTGGAGAGAATGAGGGCAATAACTGGTACAATTTTTGACTCGTTCTCAGATCTGGAGCCAAAGGAGAGGGCATCCACCTACTTGTTATCAGTATAGGCAAACCTAGAACTTCAGGAGGCGTTTTCTTTTGTTGGGAGGCACATCTGGTGTGTCTGGTTCGAGGCAGACACAAAGTCATCTGCTAGCTCAGTTAGTTTAGACCTCAAGGGCTAATTAAGGAGCCATTTTAGCTCAGTCCGTTCATCAGGCCTACGCTCCGAGGGGTGAGCAGGTTGATCAGAGGCCTCTAGGGTGTGTGTATGGTCTTACTATGCTAGATTAGTTGTCGGTACCTCTTGTTGGGAGAGGTACCTTTTTGCTATTCAATTCCTTAGCCAATGTGTTAATTGATACGGGTGCATCTCATTCCTTTATTTTTGTCTTCCTTTGCATCTACTTTGGGGTTGAAATGTGATCAGTTGGAGTCTCCTCTGTTCGTTGAGACACTTGTTGAAGGGTAGAGTGGCATTGGGTCAAGTATGTCGGTCTTGTGAGATTGAGGTCGCAGATCATTGACTCTCTTTTGATTTTGTTGTTCTTGTTGACATACATGCTTTTGATGCAATTTTGGGTATATATTAGTTGACTTACTTTTGGGCTTCGATAGAACACCATCGTAGGAGGGCGTCGTTGTGCACATAATCTGAGGATTGTTTTTACTTCCTGTGTAACTGGGGTGCTAGTTTTATTCCTCTGTTGTATGACCTAAGGGCCAATGATAGTTGAGTTTTTTTTTGCCATCACGATAGCTGATAAAGGTAGTGTGATCCAGAGTGATTTGCTAACAGTGGTTTGAGAGTATCTATAACAACCCTAAATTGTGATTAGACACTAAACCATGATTAAGAATGCCTAATCAGTAATTAAGATGAAATTTTATGTTAATTGCATGAGTTATGAGGTATTTGCATTATATCTGCTTGTTGTAGAAATATTTGTCTATGTTTCTATTCTGTGAATTGAAGGCTTTAGCAGCATCTAATTACGAAATTGACTGAGATTACATGTTATTTGGGATTTTTAGAATTTTATGGTAGGTTGAATTGAAATTCAATTTGGAACGAAATAATTAGATTATATTCAATTAGACTTAAGCTTAATTATCCATCTTCAATTATATTTGATTAAACTAGCCCACATAAGGATAATTGGACTCCATTAGCTCATTTTAGACTTCTTCATTTCCTTATTTTTGAGTTTATAATCGTTGGAGAGAAAGAGAGAGAGGAGAAAGAAATCAAGATCAACTAGGGAGATTGGTAAGGAATTGAAGGAATTAGCTTGAACTTAGTTAGAATTTTAGAAATTGGAAAGAATCACTCAAGAATTCAAGGAATTGAGCTTTGTAGGTAAGAAATCTTACTCTTAAGTTATGTGGTTGACTCATTTAATTTGTGGATTCCAAAGATAATGAAAGATTAATGCATGAAATGAACAAATGAAGTAGGAAATAAGAAGATTAGAGCATACATGTGTATTTCATAGTATTTTGAAGTTGAGTTTGAACTTAGAACCGTAATCTAGAAATTCCAAAATTTGTAGCCTCCGCTCGAGCGGTGAAGTCTGCGCTTGAGTGGATAATGCAAGCTCCCAGCAGTTTTATAGAGTTTGGGGTTTGGCTCAAGTGACAAAACCTGCACGTGAGTGACTACCCTTACTTTTGACACTTTGCTCAAGCGACCAAAGTTGCGCTCGAGTGTAAAATGAGAGCTCCCAGAAGTTTTACAAACTTTTGCAAACCGCTCGAGCAACCGAAGTTATTCTCCAGCGGAGACCCTTTTTACTTAGTCTTTGACTCAAGCGATCGTTGAGCGTCCATCGAGCGGGAAAATCATGTAACTAGTACTTTTGCAGACTTTGTAGACCGCTCGAGCAATAAAAGTTATGCTCATGCAGACTGCCTTGTTTTCAAAAATTTGACTACGTGTTTCAAGTTACATTCGGGCATCCTCATTGCATCCTAGGCATTCCTAAGCCTTAAATAAGATATAATAATGAGGATAAGACTTAGACACACACTAAGAACGAAACATAATGAGTTAAGTATTTTCCAAGCGTGTGTTTCAATGTGTATCTGTTATTTGTTTGTGTAGGTCACGCACCGTGAGCTATTCGATTTGTCTGCTCTGTCTGTTTGCTGTTGGAACCAACTGTGAGTAATAACTTAGTAAAGTTATGCTCAACTTTATTTATTTTCTATATGATGAAATAAGATTTGTTTTCTAAAATGATATGTTCTGTACAATGAATGATTGTCCAATTTCTGACATGTCTTCGTGGCATCCTTAGCATATCTATTAGCTGTTACCCTATATTGGAGGTTCCATTATGGAACTTAATATGTCTGCAATCTGTTACCTGTATTGGAGGCTCTATTATGGAGCTCAGCAGATCTATTATCTGTTATTCGGATCCGGAGGTTCCTTTATAGAATTGATTACTTGTAACCACCATCTATTCTGTATCTATTCTATGTCTGTTCTTTATCTGTTTTGTTAGCATTAATGGATGTACCACATATGATTAAGCATGAACTCTGACTTCTATATATGATTTGAATAACAATGTGAATATGGATCTGCTTCTGTTTCTGTGATAAACATGAATCTGCTTTCTGAATCTGATATAGGGCATCATTCATTTAAACCCCTTGACTCTGTTATTATTTACTAGGCTCCCGCTCACTCTATTATCTATGTATGTAGGTGATCAGGCACATGACTAGGCTCAATAATGGCAACCACGTGACTAGGCTCAATAATGGCAACCTGAAGATCTATTTTTCGGCTAACCCTTATGCCTCCTAAGGAGGTTTCAGAAAAAGTCATGTGGTCAAGTTTTGTGAATTAAGTTTAAGACTCTGTTTTTATTTTCTCAAAATCCGAACAAGTTTCCATCTATCTGTATATTGGGCTAGTCCTAACTTGGTTTATCTGTACATGTGTATGACGCAAGACTAATGTATATATATGACGTAACATTTTGCCAAGATAAAGTTTTAATTCCAGTCCCATGTATGCTTGTACATCTTAATGGACTATGTATATTTTTTATCTGTTTCCGCAGCGCCTTATTATGTATTAATTTGGTCAGAGGCCTTTGGTAAGCCCAGTATTATTGGTCAGTTACGACGCTAAACCTATAGGGGCTTGTTTGGGTCGTGACAGAGTGGTATCATAGTACAAGTTATACCGTACCCACGAATCCATATGAGTTATAGGATGTCTTAGAAAAGAATTCAGAACATTTCATCTACATGTGTGAGTGTGTGTTAATTTCTATAAATGTGAAAACTGAGTTTGAATATGAACATATGAAATTGAAAAGAATGAATCGAGATTAAATACTCCGAACACTGTGAACAAGATTATTCCTATGTTTATTATTACCTTGTTTACTTATAGCAACATGGAAAATACAAGAAGTAATGATGCAACCAAATCTTTTGAAGCCTGAATGAGCCGAATGGAACAAATGCATGCAGCCTTAACAGAACATTTGAGACAACAACCTTTGCCTCCTTCGCCCTCTCCGGTCCAAGAAGAACTGGTGAACAATGACATCATCAGTTTGACTCAGAAATTCAATAAGATGAAGCCACCAACTTTCTTGGGTGGAATTGAGTCGTTGAAAGTCGAGTCATGGCTACTTGAAATGGAAAAGCAATTCAAAGTGTTTCTCTGCTCCAAGACTCAGAAAGTTCTCTTGGCCACCTATACCTATAAAGATGAAGCCTAATGATGGTGGTTGCTAATTTGAAATGACAATGGGAACATGGCATGGGTTCAATTCAAAGAGATCTTCTACGATAAGTACTTTCCTCAGTGCTTTCGGAACCGAAATTTTTCTAAATTTCAAGAACTCACGCAAGGCAATATGTTAATAGCAGAGTACGAGGCCAAGTTTACGGAGTTAGCTTGCTTTGCAACATACATGGTTGACACGGACTGCAAGATAGCCCAAAAATTTGAAGGAGGTCTAAATCTGGATGCCTTTGATTGGGTAGGAGTGTTGAAACTGCCTAAATATGTAGATGTTCTTATCAAAGCCTTCATGGTTGAAGGTAACCCAGCAGCTATGAAACAAACCAAGACCCCAACAATAGGAGAATGGAGAGGTAAGAGATCTGGGTACAGTTTCAGAAAGGGCCACTGTTTTGTGAACAAGAAGCAAAACACAGGGTCTACAAGTGGCTCAAGTTAGAGTAGTGGGTCTATTCCAATTTGTCTTGATTGTAGAAGGAAGCATAGGGGTGTGTGTTACCGTGCATCTAGTGCTTGTTTCCGATGTGGCCAGACAGACCATGTAGTGAAAGATTGTCCGCTTGGGTCTGATAATGCCAACCATCCTACGACAAGTTCAATCGGATCCGCTTCTGCATCTAGAACAAATACGAGAGCTAACACTAGGAGAGAAACTTTCAGACAAGGCTGAGTTTTCGCACTAGTGCCTGGTGATGTGTAGAACACCGAAGCTATGGTGTCAGGTATAATTTCAATCTATGCTCAGAATGCATATGTGTTGATAGATTCTGGCTCTACACATTCTTTTGTGTCGCATGCTTTTTCAAGGAAATTGACTAGACCATTAGAACCTATGAATTATTTACTATCTGTATCTACACCATATGAAGGTTCTATGGTATGTGCTTATGTTTATCTAGCATGTGATATTGTGATTGGTGATGTGACATTGTATGTTGATTTATTGCTATTGGGTATTGATCATTTTGACTGTATATTTGGTATGGATTGGTTGATGAAGTATTTTGCAACTATTGATTGTGTCAATAAAACTGTTGTGTTTCGATCACCTGGTATACCTGAATTTGTCTTTGTTGGTAATGGTTTAATTTCTCTATCGTACTTGATTTTCTTTTGTGTAAGCCAGGAAATTGTTAAGAAAAGGGTGCCGGGGTTACTTGTGTTGCGTTTTGAATGTGACTTCTAATAGCCCCAATGTAGAGAGCATCCCTATGGTGAATGAATTTCCTGATGTGTTTCCAAATGATTTGCCCAGAGACTTAATTGAAAAGTAAATTGAGTTTACCATTAATGTTGTACCTGGAACGCAACCGATTTCTGAAACCCCATACGAATGTCAACCTCCGAATTAAAAGAATTGAAGGTTCAACTTCAAGAACTACTAGACAAGAAGTTTATCTGACCGAGTACTTCATCTTGGGGTGCCCCAGTTCTGTTTGTTAAAAAGAAAGATGGGTCTTTGAGACTATGTATAGATTATCAGGAATTGAACAAAGTAACTGTCTAGAATAAATATCCACTATCCCGAATAGATGATTTGTTTGACCAACTCCAAGGAGCCCAAGTGTTTTCCAAAATTGATCTTTGATCCGGATACCACCAATTGAAAGTTAAGGTAGAAGACATAGAGAAAACCGCTTTTCAGACTAGATATGGGCACTATGAGTTTTTGGTAATGTCGTTTGGGCTAACTAATGTACCTGCAGCATTCGTGGACTTAATGAATAGGGTGTTCAAACATTTTCTTGATGAATTTATAATTGTGTTTATTGATGATATTTTAATCTATTCTAAATGCAGGGAAGAACATGAATGCCATCTGAAAACTGCCTTATAGGCCTTGAGAGAAAATAAATTGTATGCAAAATTGTCCAAATGTGAGTTTTGGCTTGACTGTGTAACATTTCTGGCGCATGCAATCAATAAAGAGGGCATCTCTGTCAACCCACAAAAAATCGAAGCTATTGTGGATTGGCCAAGACCAACTAACGTATTCGAAGTCAAAAGCTTTTTGGGACTTGCAGGTTACTATCGCAGATTTGTAAAGGAATTCTCCAAACTTACCATGCCATTGACACAGTTGACACAAAAAAATGTGCCGTTTGATTGGAATGACCAAAGAGAATCTACTTTCCAGGAGTTAAAGACCAGATTAGTGACTACACCAATTTTGACCCTACCTAATAGTACAGTCGAGTTTTAGATTTACAGTGATGCTTCATACAAAGGCTTGGGGTGTGTTTTAATGCAGAATGGGAAGGTAATTGCGTATGCTTCATGAAAACGCCGGCCACACGAGAAGAATTATCCAACCCATGACTTTGAACTTGCAACTGTGATTTTTGTTTTAAAAATCTGGTGCCATTAGCTGTATGGAGTGACTTGTGAAGTGTGTACTAACCATAAAATCTTGAAATATTTCTTTACTCAGAAGGAATTGAACATGAGACAGAGACGATGGCTTGAGCTAATAAAAGACTATGACTTGTAAATTCTATACCATTCGGGGAAAACAAATATAATAGTAGATGCTTTGAGCCTTAAATCTATTAGGAATTTGTCATGTTTTCTTATCGATCAGAATGAATTGTTATGTGACTTGGAGAGAAATGAGATTCAAATTGTGTTATGCGAATAGGGTGGAATTGTAGCTGCCATCTCTGCCCAGCTTGCAATTATTGAAGAAATTAGAGAGAAACAACTTGACACAAAACCGAGGCCGGGATTTGTATTTGAGAACAGTGTACTGAAATTTTGAGATAGGCTTTGTGTATCGGATTGTTTTGACCTAAGAACACGTGTTATGACTGAGGCTCATAATTTGAAATTTTCTATGCATTGGGGTAATACGAAAATGTATAAAGATCTAAAGCAGAATTTCTGGTGGCCTAGAATGAAGAAGAGTATTATTGACTTCGTAGCCAAATGTTTTCATTGCCAACTAGTAAAAGCCGAATATCAACGACCTACCGGACTACTTCAACCGCTCCCAATACCAGAATGGAAATGAGAGCAGATGGATTTCGTTGTTGGATCCCCTCGCTCCTCTCGAGGTATGGATTTTTTCTAGGTCATTATGGATCGTTTAACTAAATTTGCCCACTTTTTTTTTTTTTTTTTTTTTTTTTGCTTTGCCCAATCTTTGTATAATGCAGATAAGTTGGCAAATTTATATGTAAATGAAATTGTGAAATTACACGGAGTTCCAGTTTCCATAGTATCTGACAGAGATCCTAAGTTCACTTCGAGCTTATGGCAGAGTTTGCAGCAGGCTTTGGGGATTGAACTGAGACTAAGCAGTGCTTATCATCCACAGACAGACGACCAATTTGAATGGACCATTCAAACATTAGAACACATGTTACGAATGTGTGTGTTAGACTTCCAAGGAAATTGGGAGGCTCATCTACTGTAGACCGCCCGAACTTCCTCCGCACGCCCCCCTTTTCGGAGAGGGCACGGATTTGAGGTTCTAGATACTACAGTTTGGACTCCTGTCACGGTTTTGAATCTAATCTCACAAAGTGCAATGTAAGACTGATAAATCACCAAAGAGTCCAAATCCGGCAAATCGTTTTGAAAAATCGATTTTAATCAAGAAGTGCCAAACATTGACTGCTTTGCCAGATTTCAGAGTCGACACCTAAATATTTTGTTTTGGGAAATTTAGGAAACCCTGACTCGTACCTAAGGCCACGTGTCCGTCATCACCAAAGTTGCCTTGGCTCGGGAGCTTGGGTACAAGGGGGAAAGGTCTTGAAATGAGCACCCCCTCTCCCCCGATCAAAGGATCGGCCTCTACTAAACATGATATGTTGTTTTGAAAAAACATGTGTCCTTATTCCAATTATTAGCTAACCTTACTAGGTGATGCGCACAACACACAAGTATAGACTAAATCACTCAATTTGGAACAAAACACTCATGCTTGTTTTTCGAAAATGGTTTGAAGTTGCTACTCGCAAGTAGGCTAACGCGCGGATTTGCCACCCTCAAGTGGGCTTAAAACATGATGATTTGCCACAACCAAGTGGGCTTAAAATGCACATTTGATGAATTGTTCCAATTCAAGTAATAAAGCCTTCATCCACAGGCATTCATGCAGTTAAGCATATAAGCAAATAACCTCATGACAAGCACGCTATCATGGCAATATGCAATCACATTCATGCAATATGCTAAAATGTAAACACTTACAGTGTACTCCAAGCCAAAATAGAAGCTAGTTAGTAATCAATGCATG